GTTCTTACTGTCAATATAGACTACTCAAGTGTGTGGCGGATAAAGCCCCAGGGTAGCCCACAGGAAAGGTTACTTAGTCAATGCCTACAAATCCTAGCATGTGTCTTGGAGATACAGAAGGTACATCCCGTTAAGAAGATGTTTACAGCTCTGGAGTGAGGGCCATGGTTCCCTAGGGTGGGTCCTGCTTCTACAAAAGGGAGGGGGAAGAGGATGCTAGGAGATACCCTGCTAGCTATTAGCCTGATCTGCCTTGCCCTTTACCTATTGACTGCATGCCCACGGCCACATGGTTTAGGTTGCAGAGAACTTGTTGGCTTATTTCTGTAAACTTGAAGGAAAATATCAAAGAAGCTGGTTGGAAGGCATGGTGTCTATAGTCTGTCCTTACAGATCGTGAACTGTGTTAGGTGCCAAGGTGCCAACGCTAGGCCTCACCTGGCAGCCCCTGCCACGCTATTTGCTCTTTCACTTTGAGGGTGCTTGATTTTAACAGATGTTTCAGGATATGGAAGAGAGCAGTACAGAATTCCAGATGTAGCATTTGCCCTTAAAGGAAAAGGAACCGATAAAAGAGTATTTGTAAAATGATTGATCCAAAAAGCTCAAAGCTGTAAACAATATGCATGGCTCATTAAAGCCACAGAAATATCTAAACAAACTGAGCACTCTCGAACTTTTGGTGATCTTTAACCATAAGCTGGTTAATATTTACCTTCCCGATGCCATTCTTATGTTTATTTCACAACTTTTCTACTAATGAGGCTTACAATTACTCATATTTTTAAAACAAGCTTTTTACCATTCTCAGAACAAACTGGGGTTGTGCACAGTCCTGTAAAATCTGAGAATTTGAGTAGGGGTGAGTTCAAACCCTCATTGGAAAGGCTGCTATCAGGCTGCGGAGATGTCTGCAGAGATGGCTCCACAGTTAGAAGAGCTGGCTGCCCGTTTGATTCTCAGCCCCACATGCATGGCTCACAACTGTCTGTAATTCCAGTTCCAGAGACTCTGACATTCTCCTATAGCCTCCCTGGGCACTAGACGAGCACTGGTACACATATATACACGGAGGCAAATATACACATACAAAATTTTCAAAAAATGTAAGCTGCTAATCTTAGGTCATCACTTTTTACCAAGTTATGTTTCCCTTAGGCAAAATTAAAATTTGGTCATTTTAAATTCCTCCTTTGTTGTTAGTGTAATTCTCAATGGGAAGCCTACCATTGTTACATTTTTAAAAGCATACATTTAAATACCAACTGGTAACGTTACCTAAATTAATTTAAACTTAGATAATTAATTTAAAAGATTTAAAATATTTAGTTGTTTAAGTTTAAAACTAGCATGTAATTAATCTCTTTGAAAGAACAGAGAAAGGAAAGAGAAGAAATGGAAAGGAAAATAAATTCTGCTATGTTCCCCATTGTAGTAATTAACCTTAATAATTAGGTTTTATATTTAAATAGCCATGTTTATGGTAAAGTACAAGTTTTTTTCCTTTCCTCTTTTTGAACAGGTTGGTAAGTCATTTCAGCAAAAGCTACAAATATATTATTTAAAACTGCATGTTAATTTCCTTGTTTAATCAGGTAGAGGTAACAAATCTGCTACATGATTATCAAAGAAATTATTGGCACAGTATTTTCCTATAGATTACTAATTAAGTTAAAGATTCATTCCTTTTTAAAGATGCATTAATAAGGAGGTCAGGGAGGTGGCTGGTTCAGTAACATGTTTGTTGCACAAGCATGAGAAACTGAATTCCAATCCTCAATACTCCTTAAGAAGCCAGCTTGCCTGCAGTCTCTGACACTGATTTGCTAGTGTCATTGAATTTGTGAGCTCCAGGTTCAGTGAAACCCTGTATCAAAAACGATGACAGCCTAAGTCAACCTTGGTTTTCATGAATGAGCACACGTGAACAATTTATACACAGATATACCCACACACACAAATAACATTAGATTCAGTCCCCAGGGAGGCTTAGTGACACATGCCTTTGACCTTAGGACTCAGGAGGTGAAAGAAGGAGAATCAGGTCATGGCCAGCCTCAGCTACATAGTTGAAGCTAGGCTGAACTATATGAGACTATCTTTTTTTCTTTTATTTATCACATATACAGTGTCCCACCTATATGTATCCCTGCAGGCCAGAAGAGGGCACCAGATCTCATTACAGATGGTTGTGAGCCACATGTGGTTGCTGGGAATTGAATTCAGGATCTCTGGAAGAGCAGTCAGTGCTCTTACCTCTGAGCCATCTCTCCAGCACATGAGACTATCTTTTTTTTATAAATCCATTTAATATGAAAAGACTTGATTGCCATTACATACATCATGATGGAAATGAAATTGCAAAAATATGTTTATGAACATACACTTGCAGCCATAGGTATTCAATCACCAGAAGAGATGTGAGTTCTTAAGTGAGTAACATCATCACACAAATAAAACCACAGCTTTTATTAAAGAACGCTTTACGTAGAAGAATGCTAAAGGATCACACAACTAGCCACCTTAGCCACGGTGAGTTCTTACTGTGGATTTCAAGACTGCCTATTTTTTTGCTGTTGCTTAGCCTTTTAGAAATCTATCATTGTTTTCCACTTTAAATTTATTTTTGAAATTATGACTTAGAAAGCCCTATGTTGTGGGTTGAGGATGCAGCTCTGTCTGTAAAGTGCTTGCCAAACGTACCTGGGGCCTTGGGATCCATCCCCAGCACTGCATAGTAACCTGGTATGGCGGCCCATGCCTGTAATACTAGCACTGTGGAGATGGGAACAGGAAGATCAAGGGTCATCCTCTGCCTTATAGGGTTTGAGGGCAGCCTGGAATACGTAAGATCCTGTCTAACTTACTAACTAAATAATAGAATGATATTACCAAGTTGCAACCAAGTATCATTTTGTGCTTGTGTATGCACACATGGTCCAATGATTGTAGATGTAGGTGTGTGTGCCTGTGTAAGCCTAGAACTGAAGTTGGATGTTTCCTTAGGTCACTCTCCAGTTTATTTATTTTTGGTTTTTCAGAGACAGGGCTTCTCTGTATTGTTTTGGAGGCTGTCCTGGAACTCACTCTGTAGACCAGGCTGGCCTCGAACTCACAGAGATCCGCCTGCCTCTGCCTGCCGAGTGCTGGGATTAAAGGTGTGCGCCACCAACGCCCGGCTCACTCTCCAGTTTATTGTAGCTTCACTCTCACAGAACCTGAAACTCGCTCTAGCTACTCTAGCTAGCCAGTCTGTCCTGATCATCCATCTCTGCCCTGAATGCTGGGAGTACTAGAAGAGGGCTACGCCTGCCCACCTCTTGTATGGGTTTTGGGGATGTGAAGTACTTTATGCAGTGAGCTTACAAGCCCCTCACCTCCCCCCATCCCCATCCCCACCTTCTACTATCGTCATCATTCCCTTACCTGCCTCTTATCTTAGGTCAAATTAATAAACAGACATGGGTGGGAAACACGACTCCAAGCTAATTGTGAGAAACAGGAAGCAAAACTTTTATTTCCAAACTACCCCAGGCAAAAGCATGAGCGTTTAGTCTTACTGACCTCATTAGGACAGAGAAAGTGTTTTAACAAGGACATTTACAAGAACTCCCACTTAGAAATTCTCACATGTGCCATTCTTGCCTTTAAAACTGAAGGTGTTTGCTTTAATTGATTACATGTTTAACTTTTAAGCAGTTTTGGTACAACGTGAAATAGAATACGGCATGTTTTTCTAATATTATTCAAGGTCGAAATTTAAAAAGGCAATGCCTATATAATGATTTACCTTTATTGCCTGTGTTTTATTGGCCTTCTGTGTCTAAAAAGAAATTCGCATTTTCTCTCCAAGGACAGTTTTACTCCAAGTATAGTTATAATTTAAATCACAGTTATCAAGCAGTGGCTTAGTTCAAACGCTAGCAAAGAAGAGGTAGTTATTCTGCTCAAAACACGTAGCTTTATGTGTCTTACATAAGGACTTACATCATGACTAAGAACTAACTTCAAAAGTAGCATTAAAGTCCTTAAAAATAAAGTAAGTTAATAAAAGAGCAAACAGGTATGTGCAGCGGTTAAAATGGGCTTTCCGGTTGCTTGCATTTTCCCTTACTAAGGTCTGGTTAACTAAGGTCATTCAGCTAGTTCATCAGCCAGCCGTAATTTAGAGGACTGTCTTCTGCCTTAGATTGGAGCGGATCTAAGTCTTATCAACTTATCAAAACTGGGAACTAAGGGCAAGGAGCCAAAAAATATGTTCTGTTCCGCACATAGGGTGCACGCAAGTAAGTTGCCTGTATCCACAGCCTCAAGCCACTGTCCTTTTGAAGTGAACACCCTCACACAGTCGGCAGACTTCCACGTGTTCAGTCCTGGTTTTAAGGATGGAAATCTCCAAAGTACACACCGCGCTTGCTTACGTGTTTTTCCTGAATTTTCTTTCACACCTCTCATCTGATAGTCCATGGGATTTTCACCAAAACCAGGTTACATGTTTAGGCGACACCCACCCATGTTGTCCACAGCCGCTGCCTAGGCACACCTCACACAACCATACTTTAAAATATAGCAAAGGGGTGACGATTTATCTAAATATAGTCCCGGTCTGTTTACTTTACACTCATCCAATGGGTTTCTAGAGGCAGTCAATGTAAACCCATGATGAGTAGCATCTCTCAAACGGCTCTCTGACTTCTTGACAGTTACGCCATCTACCCGCGGAATCTGGGCCTCTGCTTTCGACCATTCTCAGATCAGTTCATTCAACTTAGGGGCTAGTGGGGGGACTGAAAAGAACCAAGCAGGGGAAGAAAGTTGCTTGCTACTCCGTCTTCCCGCGCGGATCTCTAGCGGCGGCTCCCGCAGAGCTAAGGGAGCCTCCCGGCTGGCGACTCTGTTCCCGTGGTCACCGCCAGGCCGGGGCAGCCTCGCTGCAGTGGCCGGGAACCTCGCAGGCCCAGCCGCGTTGGCCAGTAGCCTACGGCCGGAGACAGACTCACCTGCCCTCCCCGGAGGCGATGGAGCGCGCGCGGCTCGCCGGGACCCAGATGCGCGGAGGAGGAGACGCTCCCTGGGACACAGGGGAGAGGTGGCGTAAGCAGGAAAGAGGATTACCTAAGCGGGGATGCGGAGCCCAGAAGGAGGCTACACAGCCTTTCCCTGAGAAACGGAAGAGGCGGAGGAGGGGCAAACGAGGAGGAAGGGAGTGCCAATTCCTGGAGGTGGTCGCGCGGGGACTCGGCGCCGGCGTCCTGGGGCGGGCGCAGCCGGAGGGCGAACGCCAGGGAGGACCGCGGAGGTCACCGCAGCGCAGGCGGGGTGGCGCCCTGCTCTCCTGGCTCCCAGTCTTGCAAACTAGTTGCTGCCAGGTCCCCGCCCCCTCTCTTTCCCCACGGCTGGTGGCGTGGAAAGGCGCGGTGACGCCTCTTAGCTTCTGGGGAGGGCGAGGGCATCCCACGCTTGCCAGAGTTTGGCGTCCGCGACGTCACAAGTGAAGCACAGTGAATTTCATGGGAGGGCCAGGAAGCTCGGGGTCGCCTCATCCACAGTTGATGGTGTGCCTGGTTTCTTCTGACCTGCCCACAAACTTTTTTAGAATATTCCTCCTCCATTCATTTGGACTCCAGCTATTGCGGCTTTGACCGATGGGTTGGAAGCTGTGGAGCTGGAGTTGTGCTTGCGATATTCCAGTCTCCCTGCTCGAATAGAGGTGTCAGGGTTGCTGCTTGTTCCTTTAGCCAAAGAGGTGTCTTCTATGTGGGCCAAGGGCCAGACAGACAGGAATCTTGGGTGGGGAACTGGTCTCTCGCTGCATCCCTTTAAAGTAATACTCAGTGTGCGTTAGGGATAGTTGGGAATGGTAGTTGGAAATAGGAATGAATGGTGATGGACGATGGGCAACTTTGGGATGGAAGGGGCTCGGAATGTGCGTGGCCTTCTAAAGCAGTGCTTCTGGGTCCTTTTCACTTTCTACAAGTAGGGCAGGACAACACTGCAAAGCCCCAATGAGCCTGCAGAAGAGGCTGCCCTTGCAGGAGGTGGCTGGACCCTCTTCCACAGTTCTAGCTAGCAGGTTTTCTCACCTACCTTCCCTCACACCGCTATTTATCTGCATCACTGCGATGTCAAGTCTCTGAACAAAGAGCCACTAGGCCTGGAGCCCGGGACAGTACTGTGAAAAAACTCCACAGTTTAAAGCGTTTGCATCTCAGCGACTCACTCAACTGACTCCTTAGGTCCCACCCATTTCCAGCTTTCATTCACTGGCAGGCTCAGAGGATTGCAGCCTTCTCTCTCAGATCATCGTTTTATTTTATTTTCTCATATGGAGTCTCACTCTATAACCCCTGCTGGCCTCAAATTCAGGCCTAGACGCTCAGATTGTCCTTTAGATCCCTTCTCTTAAGTCCCTCCTTGCTGTACTGCTGTTATTAATTATGAAATCAGATCAGTGACAGCAAAGTAAAAAAAATAATATAAATTTGATATTTTGGAGATGTATACAGAAGGCGAAGAATTTTTACCTAGGAGCAGAATTGAGGAGGGGGTAGAGTAGGGACTGTGAATCTGATGCAGAAATCACCCTGTAAAATATATCTCAGTGAGTCTCTTGCTGGAAATACTAGGAGCAAGCTCCTGGTTGGTTGCCTCGACCAACAAGGAAGACGCCCAGACTCTTCTTTAAGCAGTTTATTCAGGAACCTTCAACAATCTTCTCCTGGGGAGCCCCAACCCACAGTTTAAAAGCCCTTAGGCGGCCAACCCCAGTATGCCATGTGGAATATGCAGATAGGTCCACATATGTGGAAGCAAGCCTGATAGCCAGCCTTAACCAAATACAGGTGTTGTTTATCACAGAGAGCACCTGCTGTCGGGCTAGCAGAAGGTGGAAGCCAGCACCATCTTAAGAATGCAGCACTTCGCAGCTCTCTACACCTGGTGACCAAGGCCCATGGTCCCTTCTTACCTGTCCACTTTGCCACTTACAGTTATTGACTCTTTTACCAAACCTGGTCTAGATATCAATCCATAAATATTTGTAACTCCACGTTTGTGGACGCCATTGCTACCGCTGTGAACAGTCTCTTGCAGCTGTAACACAATTATATATAATAGCTATGTAATCGGTAAGTGTCACCTCAGTCATGGCTGGCGAGATGATATAGCCGGTAAAAGTGACTTCCACCAAGCCTAAATAGCCTGTTTGGCTTCTGGTGCCCACATGGTACCATAAATATTATAAACATTTATTTATTGTTATATTAAAGAATTATTATAATATAACATTATAAAATATTTATAAGACAATTAAGATGTAAAAGGTCTAATTTGCTCAAATATGTAGTATTTGGTGAAGCTAAGTTTGAACCTGGAAATTTGGCTTCAGTACTCACATGATATTACCCATTCATCATTTTAATATCTTTCTCAGACTGTTATGGTTTAAGTGTAAAGTGTTACCCACAAGCTCACACATTTGTACATTTTGTCCTTAGCTTGTGGTGCTCTTCTGGGAGTTAAAGAACAGTCTGGGCCGGGGGTGGGCATGGGGGGATAAGGGGTTGCCTCACTGGAAGAAGTCAGTGACTGAGAATGAGCACTGATATTACATCCTGGCCAGTTACCAGCTTCTCTGCCTCTATTTGGGGTTGGTTTTTGTTGTTGTTTGTTTTGTTTGTTTGTTTTTGCTGGTTTTCTCTCTATCTCTTTGTCTCTGTCTCTCTCTCTCTGGAAGGAATGTGGAAAAAGTTGGCATTGCAGACTAGAGGAACCTTAGAACACGGTGTGCAGAGCTTAATGGGCCATTCTGGAATTGCAGAATGCCAACTGGAAGACAGACCAAAAAGCAGCTTCAGAGAGGTTTCAGAGGGGAAGGAGAGTTCTAGGTGAGGGAACTGGCCTGGAGGCCATTTGTGTTACATTTTCACAAAGACTCCAGCCACAGTTTCTGCAAATGCGAGCAAAGTTAGATTCAAATGTAAGGAATTTTGTGGAGGAAAGTTCAAGCAGCATAGGATCTGTTCTTGCTGCTTGTATCTAGATTTGCAGCGAGAACTCTGGGCAGAAAGTGCAGCAGAAAGGTGTGAAAATATGCATTTGGACAAGGAAAGGAGGGGGAGTAAATTAATAGTTATGGACAAAGTCACGGCTGGAAATGCTGCTGGCTGTTAAAGTGAAAAGCACGACCTAGAGAGAACTTTCCAGCTCTCTACTGCAATAGGAATGGCTCTTTGAATACAAGACCCCATACTCGGAAAGCTCCTAGGCAACCTACTCCAACTCAACCCACTAGGGAGCTGCTTAATTAGGTTCAGCCATATTGGTACTCAGAGGCTGCCACAGCTGATGTGAGAGGGAGCCAGGTTACAGCTTGAGCCTGCAGCAGAATTCACTATTGATTTTGCAAGAATGCAAGATTTCAGAGGTACAGTATTGTGGAAGGTTCTAGACAGCCACTGTGGATTGGTAATATGGAGCGGGACTAGACTCCACTCACGGAGCAATAATATGGGGGGGGCAGTTCAAGAAGCTTTGAAGGTGGAGCCTAAGGTGCAATGGATTTAAGGATGCTAGAGAAACCAGGAACGTGAGGCATTTGCCAGGGCAAGCCGCAGCCAGAGACTGGAGTTGGCCCAAGAAAGAACCACATGTGCTACAGGCAACAGAGCTATAGGGAGAGTAACCCAAGTTCATTCTATCTCTGATGGTGCCACCAAACATAAGGCTGCAGGGTTTGCCATAGAGAGGGGTTTGGTTTTGTCTTGGTTCAGTCCTTCCTTCCTATGGTCTGTTACCCCTTTTCGAACAGAAGTTTTGCTCTGTGTCATTGTATATTGAAAGTAGGGGACTTGGGTTTGTTTTTTTCCCCCTCAGGGTTTCATAGTTAAGAGATTGCCTGCATCCTTAGACTGTGGACTTTCAGCTTCTGAACAGTGTTGAAGCTATGAGACGACGGGAACCTTTGCAGCTGGACAGTATCTATTTTTCACTATGAAGTGGCGATAAGCCTATAGGGGGTGAAAATGAAATACTATGGTTCAAAGATAAAACGTTCCCCTGTGTTCAAGCTCTCGATCTCCAGCTGGAAGCACTGATTGGGGAATTTTGGAACTTTCTGGATGTGGGGCCTAGCTTAGAGAGGAGAGCAACACAGCTCTGGGTCTGGTGTGAGCTCTCTCCCTGCCTCCCTTCCTCTTTGTCCCTCTGCCCACTTCTCTTTCTTGGTCTGAATTTAACCCTAACATCTGTAGTTTCTTTAATAAATATTTCTGCAGTTTCATCATCTGAGTAGAGTTGGTTCTTGTTTTGACAAACTAGTGTATATTAAGGGACACTTGGTCATCACAGACTTTTATTCCTCATTGCAACAGGCCACAGACATTTTACATCTGAGGCAATGATTTACATGCATTGTGGGTATGAATTTGAATTAGTATTGTGAGATTCCAATGTAATACTCTTGACATTGTTCCTAACTGCTGGAAAGCAGGTTTTGAAAAGTAACATTCCTGCATTTTATTAGGTAATTATGTACTACAGTGTATTGGTGTTCAGATTTCTATATTTTCAGTAGGTGTGTGTGTGTGTGTGTGTGTGTGTGATCTTTCTGTGTTGTCTGGGATGGCCTCCTACCTCAAGCCCTGAGCACAGAAGCTATAAGCACACACCTCTATCCCAAGCCTTGGTGGACTTTTCAGTGAAACTTTCTCACATATGTCAAACATAGAGACTGTACAAACATTGAGGTGATGAACTGAGAGAAAGTTGGAGGAAATTTATCTTTGAAGCACATGTTGGGATGGCTTTGGACATAGATTGAAACACAAATTTGGAGAGTCCCACCCTAGAAGATACTCTTCAAAATTAGAAGAGTCTACTATTAGATTAGATTACTAGAATAACATGGTCAATGATAGGATTGTAGAGAGAAGCCTTTCTCTTGTCAGCCGCTTTGGTTTTTCCCCACCAGTTGCCTGGGCTCTGCCGCGTTGTAGTCCCCAAATAACACACAAGACGCTGTATTAATTATGAAGCTGTTGGCTTGATTTCTTACTGGCTAGCTCTGACTTAAGTATTTAACCCATCTAAGTATTTCTCTTACCGGACGGACATCTTACTTCTCTGGTGGGCTACATGATGACTTCCTGTGTTTCTCCTCCCCAGAGTCCTCCTGGACTCCTAGTCCCATCTATCTTGCTTCCCTATTGACCAACAGTGCTTTATTGACATATACACAGGACTTCCCCATCATAGAATTTTGCCAATTGCTCCTCAAAACACTCCTCATGGTGATTGATATTGAATATCATTTTTCTTTGCTGCATTTGTCCTTAAATACACAA